CATGTCCTTCTACTCCACCATCTTGAACCAATCTCCAAGGAAGTCTTTTAAAATACAGGTTTTAGAGCCCTGCCTTGAGTTTTCTGACTCCGTCTGGGTCACCAGGTGCATGTGATAACGGGCCAGGTGTAGAATTCTCCTGCCTGGATGAGGGGCTATGAGGAAGCACCAGTGAGGGTGGGAGAGATTTATGAGATACTTAAGCAGCAGAATGAACAGGTGACCTTCAAGGGCAAGGAAAGATGATGAGACAATCCACAGGACATGCAGGTACAGGTGAGCATTAGGTAGTTAGATATAGATGTAGGGTTTGCCAGGGAGAGCTCTAGACTGAAGGCCTACGAATGAACCTAGGAAATAATGTTTAAATCTGACTCAGAAGGAAGAGACCTCAAAGGAAATGGAAGAGAGGCCAGAGAAATAGAAAGATAAGAACAATTCAAAATTCATTCAAGCATGTAATGGGGAAAGTTTGGCTTGTGGACAGAGCATAAACGGCCTAAATTCCAAGAAAATAAGTTTTGATTGTATATTGTCAGCAAAAGTGGGGGAGAGCAAAACAATAACAGCAAACGGTTTGCTTACTTGAGTCAAGACTATGCTATGATCAGGTTTGTTTTGGGGGAACATCATTCTATCACTGGTAGAAAGGAGATGGAGAGAGGGTGAGTCTAGAGGTGGGAGAACAGCTTGAAATTGTGTGGCTGTAATAAGGGCCTAATCTAAAGCACTGGGGGGTGGGGTGGACACAAGACACCCGTTTCAAGAGCGATGTCTAAGGCAGAATGTGAGTCCCAGCGGGAATGGTAAAGGTGGAGGAGTTAAGGGCAAACTAAGGCTTCCAGCTTGGCAGACCGGTGGCCGGCAAACTAAGGTTGGAGAGGGTAGAACATAGACAAAGTTTTGGTGATGATGTTGTGAGCGTGAGCAATTTCAGGCACCATATGGTTTTTCATGGGTAGTGAGAAATATGGCTCTATTGCTCTGCCAACAGGTTGAGGCTAGGAGTTATGAGTTAGAAGTCATCAGCAGTATGGGAACTGAAGTAAAAGACAGTCACCCAGGCAGATACATATTTAGTGAGAATAAGCGACGACCAGTGGTGATTGTCAGGAGAGGGTGCACACAGTACTCAGAATCAGATCTAATGCTACAGATGCTGCCTGATCTACACCAAGTGCAGGGAGACATACATTCTTTAATCTAAATATTACTCAGTATACTCAGTGAACCAATCAGTTTGTTTTTTGTTTTTTTGGCAATCACATCACACTGACATTTCATACTGTGTTAGAAGTTAACTAAAATCCATGCATATTTTAATTGAACTATTATTAATTAATTTTGGTCTCCTCTTGACCATGGACCTAAGTAGAGGACTTTCCAATTATACTGATTCCATCAGACGTGATGCTTTTGTTGCAAGAAAGAGACTACTGCGCTAAAAGTAGTTTATCCTATGATGACATTTATTTCCCTCTCATAACTGTAAGTCCAGAGGTATGTGTGCTGAGGGTTGGCTCAGCAGATGAGCAACGATGAGGAACTGAGTCTTTTTCCTCCTTTAGCTGCCAACCTCAGTGTGTCAGCGGTACATTCATCAAGGGCAAAAGGTGATGGTGGCAGCGCCCCGCATTCTGCTTTCATATGAGAACATCTGATAGCAGGATGGGAGCAGGGGCATGTTGACCCAGAGGCCTACTCTCTTTTTTATTAAAATTTAAATAATAATTTACATACAGTAAAATGCATACATTTTAGGTGTACAGTTGAAAGAGTTTTGACAAATGCATACACCCATATAACCCACTTCCCTATTGAGAACATTTTCATCACCCCAGACGGCTCCCTGGGGTACTTTCTTCGTCAGTCATCACCACTGCTGCCACCCCAAACCCCACCCAGAGGCAACCACAGCTCTGATCTCTTAAATCATTCTCTTTTTGGTAATCAGGAATGAAAATATTTCCCAGAGCCCTCTGCCCCCAGCACACTTTCCCTTACATCTCCTTGGCCCGAACTGGGTCACAGCTGACCTTTAAGTCAATCACTGACTAAAGAAGATAGTATTATAGACCATTTATGACTCATCCATCTGTTGGGGCCCGTCTGACCTAAGCACACTGCTGCAGACCCAAATACAACTGGGTTTTGGGGGTTTTTTTACAGCAAGAAAGAATAGGGAAAGGGCTATATACACACACACCATTTTGTTGGTCTACATATCCAGCCATCCAGTGTCTGACCTATTCTTCCAGCTTTATTTCACTCACAGAAGTGCTAAGTATGTGCTCGTTCAAGCCAATGATTAAAATACTGAGAATGACACAAACAAATGTAGAGACCTCCCCTGAACTGAACAGCAATCTATGTTCCAACACTCTGGTCAAAGTTCTTCATCCTGGTCCAAATGCAACCCAATCTGTATTTGTCTGGGTCCCCAATTTTCATTTAGCCCACAAGGGTATCATGAGAATGTCATCCAACACTTGGGCTCCTACACTGGGGCACACAGAGGTGTGTCAGTGGATAGGTTTAGTACTTTTTCCCTCTAAAAGCCCTTTTCTCTGTCTCAGTGTTTTATGAGCCTCAGATTATTCTCAGCTATTTCGAGTCTCTGTCACTGTTGTGTATTTATCACTTGTTCTGTGCCTGTTTACTCTTTTTGTATACATCCTTCTAAAAGCTGAGCTCACGAGAATGATACCTTGTTTTTCTTAGCTGCTCTTCCATTCTTCCTATTTTTCAGTATGTTAATGATATCACTGTGAACCTCCCAATCCCTTTTCAATCCAGCTTCCTTTTGGCTTATATCTAATGTTTCTACAGTCTTAGGGATTTTAGAAAAATCTGCTTTCTAAACAATGTCCAGGTTTACATATCTAACCATGGCTAGCACATTCTTTATTGTTATGGATCTTAAAATGACCCTGGTACAGCCCATTAAACTAATTTCCATAACTTCCATTCAATCCTTATTGGTTATAATTAGGTCCAGAAAACCATGCTTCCTTGTTGCATTATTTACCATCTCAGAGGTAAGACTATCAGCAAGATCAGTAAAAAAACTGCATCAAGTGCTTCCCTGGTGGCGCAGTGGTTGAGAATCCGCCTGCCAATGCAGGGGACACGGGTTCGTGCCCCAGTCCGGGAAGATCCCACATGCCGCGGAGCGGCTGGGCCCGTGAGCCATGGCCGCTGAGCCTG